TGAGCTAGGCTTAAGTGTTTACCACTGAGGAAGCTATATTTTGGTGTGGATCCATCTCATTGCCATAATACACTATAGAAGGACAATATCATGGTTCAAGCATGAGAAGAGTTTGAGTCTGGATCCTCCGGAGGATGCACTTGAAGAGAGATGGAGAGAAAAATAATGAACGAGTATAATTATGAGGTGTGAACACTATGCACAATTACATTCTGTATTAGTGGAGAAGGTCCAAACTAGAAACCTTCATGGGCTGTCTGGTGATTGGTCTAAAATAATCTATTTAAAGATAAGATTCCTTCAAAGTACTCTGCTCATTTCTTTTTCTCTTGAAAGGAAAGACATGATCTTGGTATGGGACGTAGGTGATTGTTTGGCATTGGACTTCAGAACGATATTAAATCTTTAGAGTGAAGCCATGATGTAATTATTGTACCATGCAACGCCCACCCAATAGGTAGTTTCTTGACTTTTGATTGAATCTTCATCTGACCCAAAGAAATTAAGTGGGAACAGAAACAAAATTTTCTGGCCAATAACTTGCCATCATGGCTCTGCACCCTATTAGCTATACAATGTAGCTAGGTGATTCATCACAAACACTCTGCAGTCATGCTTTGAACTGGTGACTTCAGAAGCTGAGGTTGAGAGATACTCAGTTTAGTGGCTACCAGTGTGATGGAGAGCTTATATTTACAACCTAGTCATCTCACATGCCAAACTGGGGATTTGTTACAATTTAGCCTTTTCTTTATAAGTGTTTTTCTTTATTCTCTTGCTTCTTGAATCAGGACCACATGTATGAATTAGATAACCCGATAATGACATGATGATGGAAAATTAAAGAACTGTGCTGGGGATAGAGAGGACTAGTGTTTAATTTATTTTATTTTGTATTTATTTGATTATCTTTATTTTTAAATTTTGGATTTAGCTTATTTTAAGTTAGGATTAGGTTAGTTCATTTTGTATTTGTTTGATTATCTTTATTTTTAAATTTTGGATTCAGCTTATTTTAAATTGGGATTAGGTTGGGTTATTTTATCATTATCTAATCTGTGTCTAGGGCTCTAGAAAATAATCCCAATAATCCCAAGGTTGTTCACTTGTGGATTTTGTCTATTGAGTAAAATTAAGAGTATTTATCTTCTATATATATCTCTCTTTTTCCTTATTGCCTCCTCCTTTTTTTCCTCTCTTGATCTGCCTTGTCTAACATCACATGCTCTGTGCCTAATGGAATGTTTATAGCATGCTATACTGCTTTAATGGAATGGTATGATTTATTAAAATGGGTTTCAAATCATAATTCAGGTTGACTATGGATGTACACCTGAAGAAGTCCAGCAACATTTTCAGTCTTGTGGAACTGTGAACAGAGTGACAATATTGACAGACAAATTTGGTCAACCAAAAGGATTCGCTTATGTCGAGTTTGTTGAGGTTGATGCCGTTCAGAATGCTCTCTTGTTGAATGAATCAGAGTTGCATGGTCGTCAATTGAAGGTCGTTGTCAGTTAATCTGGTCAAATGTAATCAGTCACTTGCTCTATTTCTGTTTGATTGTACCTGATTTCTTATTTGCTTTTCAGGTCTCTGCTAAGCGTACAAACGTTCCTGGAATGAAGCAGTATCGTGGAAGAAGACCTATGGGTTTTCGACCTAGAATGCCTTACATGCCTTCTCCATTCTATCCTCCATATGGTGGTTATGGGTAAATAATGCATTAAACTTACTCTGGTCTTTCGTTACTAGAAACTGAGGGAAGCTTTGACATTTCCAATTTATGACCTATATTTGCTTGGGCTCTTTCATCTTATTCTGTGATTTTTTGTCTGAATTCTGATGTCTAATAAAGTAAATGCATTTTGCTTGGTATAATATTATACGTGATTCAATTTCATCAATATGTAATAGATGCATATGCTTTTCTGATTGGGTGTCTTTCCTCTTATCTGCTTAACGTTTCTTTGAAATCAGATAAGCATGTGGGCAAAGTTTGGGATCTTATGTTTTGATGCATTCCAGTTGCCACAGCCCATTTAACCCCATGTTTTCCTTTGGTCTGCAATCAATTGTTTATGGGAGATGAATAGATTGTATATATTATGTACATATTTGCCCTCTTATTTGTTTGCCTCTATGAAACCATAATAATAATTGCCATCTTCTCAGAAGTTTTTCCCAAACATGTCTTGTTGTTTTTGTTTTTGGGTTCTGAAAACAAAACTGATCTCAGGATCAGTATCTGAACAGGCCCCTGGTTCCAATTGCTATAATTCTGTCTTTCATTGTTTGGTCCGATAGATTATCGAATATCTATCCTCTCTGCCTCTTATTAATCATTATGTTATTTTATGTGACGATGAAACTTTGTTCTGTGCAGGAGGTTTCCGAGGTATAGGCGTCCGACACGTTACAGGCCATACTAGGGCCCAGTTCGAAATTAACAGATGCCCATATTTAGGAGACCTTCATGTTGTTACTTAGTTGTCATGATAGTCATTTCTTTTTCGTGGGACAAGAGACTTGAATCTTCATTTGCATGCCAGCAGTTATGTCATACCCTTTTCTTCTCTAAATGAATGATATGGTCTATAGAATGATGTGGTCTATAGATAGAGGTTGACAACTTTACTAAATTTATCTGTTCTTGGCATTTCAGTTAACTGTGAAGATTATTTGTTATAAATGAACGATGGACATTGGACACAACTATTTCGTAGTTCAATAGTTTCCCCAGAAATTCAAAATTATGTCACTAGCTTCCGGTTCTGGGTCAGAAACGATCTCAACTGAAGTGTTGGGATTGCATGACTGATTACACCGGCAACTCTTTAAGCGCTAGCTTGTAGATTATTTTCTATTAGTGATGATTAGAAATCCTGGTTGGAACTTGGAAGACCAGACCATGAGTTTTTGCTAAGCCCCTTGCGATTGATCAGCCGATCAGAACTGGGGATTCTACAGGTAAAGTTGTGGGTATTGGAATTTGAAAAAAAAAAAACAAATCATCATCAATATCAATATCTGATCATATTAATATATATGCTAGTGATCACTTGATCAGTAATCTTTGGCAATAACGTTCGGTGTTTCAGTGCGGTGGCCTTGTATTGTTTTAACTTGTATATTCTTGGATCCAACATAATCCAAGGCTTCAATTTGCCCATTAATTCTGTTGCCGTGTTTGGTAGGGATGCCGACTTTTCTATGAAATTAGGCAAGGATTCACTTCATTTAAATTTAAATAGATAATAGACTAGCCCACTCTAATCAGCCCTAAAAGGGTAGATTGGATTAACCTGAGCCGTATGAAATCTCATGTTTATCTAATTGCGCTTTGAAATTAGGCCTCTAGGTATAAACACGAAGTTTTCTTTCTTTTATTGTTGGCCAAAAAGGAAAATCAAGGAAGTGGCAGGTGAAGGATTTAGTTACTTCTCTTTGTTATTCTAAATGTAGGAGTTTACAAATTTATATATACTAAGAAAGTTAAGTTAGTTATGTATAAGAAAAAATATATGCAAGTTTTCTTAAAACATCATTTCTTTTAATCTTTTGCATTGAAATATTGTCAACATAATTTATACATCATATAAGAATCTAATTATAGAGATTGTTTGAGAAAAATAATAAATATGAGATATCAAAAATTGGGTTTTACATTTAAGATTAAAACAAACTCCCACCTAGTTTCTATATTTAGAATTAGAAGTAAAAGTATATTTTATTTGCATGTCAATATGTGGTGTTTACATTTCCTCTTCTGACATTTTCCTCAAGATGAGACTTATTAACAATTATATTTGTTTAGCAAGGACTTCTTTAAGATTTTCTTTTTGTTTTTTAATTAGCTAAAAACATTATTTTTATTTTATTTTTTATGCAGATAAGACAATTTGATCCCTGTAATTTTGAATTACTTACAAATTGAATTTTGAGTTCTTGGAATTTAATTACTTATAGTTTAGTTTTAACCATTTATCTGAATTTTTTCCGAAATTTAGAATTTTAGAATTTATATCAGGGTTAATATTATTTTTAGTTTGCAAAATTTGACTTCATTTTAATTTTGGTCTCTACAATTTGGAGCCGGTAGCTTTGGTCTTTGAATTTAGGTGGACTAAAATAAAGTCAAATATCAAGAACAAAAACCACTAGTTTCAAATTTTTGGAACTAAAATCAAAATAATATCAAATTTTAGAGACTAAAATGATATATTAACCCTTTATATAATATTAACCATTTTGACCAAAATATTTTACATTTAGTGTAATCGCAAAGGTAGTTGATTAATTTAAATAGATTAAAGATATTAGTTAAGTTAATTATTTACAACAAATAAGTGTTGTTTTTCCTAAAATATCACTGCTAATCAAATGTATTTGCTAGAACTACTATTATTATAAGGATGATCTTTAAAAAAATAAATAAATATAAGAAACAAAATATATTAATATTTTATATTTAGAATTAAAATAAAAATTAAATGAGCTTTTATACTAAGAACTAGAGATACATGAATTTTTATCTAAGCCACACTAAATGAGTCTTTTGGTTTCATTCGCGAGCAGCATTTGTTTTATTATTCAAAACCCGATTAATACATTTTATTTTATATTACTCCGGTTTTAGATGCGTAAATTTGAAAAAAAAAAAATCGTTATTTCTTTCAAGTTTTCAGCAACTATTTTAAATATAAATATCTTAAATATGTCAATATTTCTACTAATATATCCGTTATGGCCGATTTTGTTTTAGGAAAAAAAACAAAAAAAAGAGATTCAAATTCCTCTTGTTCGATTTGCTTACCCCAGCTCTCACAAAAATTCCATTTTGCCTTGAACAGTAGCAACGGTTCGCACGCTTGCAAACGGTTAAAAGGGCGTTCCATTTGGCGGGAGATCGTCCGAGAGCCACTGAGAGTGCTACACTCTTCTTCTTCTTCTCCTCGAGGATTATTATAAGGAAAAGAGGGTTCTCAAATCAAGCAACAATGTGGAGTCTTGATTCTGAATGGTATTCTCCGAAAAGCCTCCTCAGCAGCCCCGCTCATTACGATTTTCCGGTACGTCAACTACACATTGCCCTCATTCTCACATTGTTATTGGGTCTTTGGGATTCTTGTACAGGGTGATCGCTTCATACCCAACAGGAGTTTGATGGATCTTGATCAAGCGCAGAGTTTGTTGACGAATAGGACCAGGAAATTTCAAAATCCAAGTTTTGATGTATATTCTCCTCTACTCCTCTCTTTTAAAATTATTTCATTTAGTGGTTTCTGTAATAATTACTTTTTAAAGCTCAAGAAAGACAGCCGAATGTATTTCTGAATATTAATGTATCATTGAGTTAGAAAATGAAAATTAGAAAACTTTCACTCATTCGTTTCCTCTTCCCCGTCGTTTCTCTTTCTTAAATTTTCATGGTCTTGGTATTATTTCTGTTTTTCCAAAATTTGCAAAAGATTCTTCACGTGGGTCGTGTTGTGTTGTCTACTTGAGAATTATCTGATGCTGCTGACGAGTTTCGAGATTATAGTGATTCTTGCATGCCATGAAACTTCTGTTATGGACATTAGAATCGCTTTTTTCTTTCGCCTGTTTGAATTGTTGAATATTGCCAAATTACATGACAGCAAAAGTACAGGCAGAAAGTTGAGGAGAAGTTGAATTTGGATTCAGAAGGTAGACCATTTAGAATGTTAGTTTTTAGAGGAAGCCCAAAATCAAGTAGAAAGTCTATTCGTCATATTGATGAGATGCGAGAAGAAGAGGCAGCCGCATTGCAGAACAGTACCAATCAGCATCGGATCCGTCAATTGCCTAAGGTTTAAATCTGTATGCTTTATTGTAGTTGCTTAGATCTCTCTTATCATCTGTTTTAAACCTACTTTATGACAATGTATACAAAATGAAAATATATGTGATAGAATATATAAGAATTTATGCTGAAGAACCCACATTTGAATTTGAATTGTACCAATAGTTTGATCACAAAGTTCTTCGGTTTATGCAAGAGTATCTATAGCCTGGTTTGAATGAACATTAGAGATGTACTCTTGAGTAGAGTAGCTATAGAAATACTTAGAGGCCAAATATCAGTAGTTGGTGATCTTTTCTTTCTTGGAAGCAAAGGGAGGCATAATATGCGAAGAAGTCAGTGGCTCAGTATTAGCGTTTCCGTTTTTCTTTTTTTATTTTTTTGGTTCTTTAGACAAATGTGCAGAAGTGCGCTCGCGTTTTCCTTTTCTTTTCTTTTTTTTTTTTAATGGTTAGATCATGGTCTATCCTAAATTTTTGTGTCAGGGAAGACTATGATGCATTGAAGATGTGGTTAATAATTTTGTTAATATATCACTAGATAGATGGAAAAACTGGACGCTCAAATCACTTGAGAAAGCAGAATACCCTCTGATCCCCGGGGGGGGGGGAGGGAGGAGAGAGAGAAAGAAGAATGCCATTAACACATGCTTACAGCACATTTTACAGCTAAATGAACACATTGATTCGTAGACACTGAACTATGACTCGTAATCCTCAAAGTAGAGGCTTTCCTTTTACACGGGGGCTGGATATAGATCACCCTAGATGTATAAATAACTGGTTGTTTCTCATTATATATGAAGTTCACTGGAGGCTGGGAATGTGGTAAAGAAGAATGTTGCCCAAGAGCTGTGGCTCAAGTGGCTTCTTCCTTGGACGTCAGTGCCAGGGGTCTTTATCCCCACGTGGTCGCTTCCCCACACCAAAGATCTTTTGCTTCCTTTATGGCAATGGTTGTCACTGGATGGGCAACAGAACAGTAAAACAAGTTTTGTAGAACCCAGTTGATTTTTTTTTTTTTTTTTTTAATGTTTTTAGATTTTAGTTTCTTGGTAGGGCGACGGAGATGCCACTCTCAAGGATTTTGCTATTCATTTAACTGGGATGCACACTTGTGCAACCTTGGGATAATCGTGCTTTTCATAGATATGTGAAATTTTGATAAAATCATATATAATTTTGTAGGAAGTCAGTAGTTTATAAATAGTGGTGAAATTTGATAGATATGATTTGCCTTGGGCTATTTGCTTTCTTTGCTTGTATTAGCTTTTGAAATGTTTATTTTATTGGTAATTGTAATTTGTCATGTCAGTGGGTCTCACACTTGTGCGATACACCAGTCAGCGCTTAGAAGACACTTTGTAATGCAAAAGCCAATGGTTTGGGATACCTTGTGCAAACACATGGGTCAATATTCTTGTTGTATAAAAGAGATGGGAAAAAATTGTTGGGACAACTTGTAAGGGAGTAATATGTGAAAAATACTGTAGAAAACAAAATATTTTGATATTTTCCTTTAAAGTGCGTGAGATGGACTATGGAGGGAATTTTCAATGAAGTTTGAGTTGACCAGAGAAATTTTTCAAGAAAGATAAAAGATTAAAAAGAATGGAGGAGAATGAATTGAATATATCAGAGAGGGACAGTAATAGTAAGGATAAGAGTAAAAGAGTAATAAAGGAAGACAATGTAGGTAATAAGACGTATATAACAATGAAAAAGGATTATGCTTTTATAATGTACATGGTTGGTGCAAAAAGTTCAAGTAGGGATCGACTCCGTTTGCTTTGTACTACATTGTAAAGTTTTCCTTTACTTAGATAAGTGGAAGTGGGATTCGGTGGTTTAGGCGCATGTAAATGGAGATAAAGGTATTATCGTGGGTGAAGTTAATGGTGGAAGTGTAGGGCGATGAGAAGAGAAATTGCTGATAATAAACCATATGTATGGAAAAGAAATAGTGCTATATGAATAGTTTGTGTTCCCCCAAACTGCAGCAGCTTCTTTCTGTATTCTTTATCAAAATAAGGCATAATCTTTCAATGTGACCCAGTTGACCTTGTTTAGTAATTCTACACTTGCAGGGAGAAGCAAGGATATTGGATGCACCAAACCTAAAGAATGACTTCTACTTAAATATGATGGACTGGGGCAAGAACAATGTTCTTGGTGTTGCTTTGGGCTCAGATTTATACCTGTGGAACGCAGAGACTAGGAATGTAGTTAAGTTGTTCCAAGCCATTGGCGGTGATTATCCCACGAGCGTTGCCTGGTCTGAAGACTCCCAATTTGTGTCAGCTGGCTTTTTGTCCTCTAAACTTCAATTGTGGGATGCTGAGACTTCCAAAGCTGTATGTATCTCTTTCAAATTATCTTGCTTCTCTAATATCAGCAAATAGTGTGTAATGGAGAGTCTAAACTTCTATTCGTGTCTTTAATTGTCAGGTAAGAAGTCTAGAAGGTCATGATGGAAGGATAGCGACTTGTGCATGGAATGGTCACATTCTGACATCAGGAAGCCAAGACAAATCTATAATCAATCATGATGGTAATGTGGTTAATCATGACTCTTTAATACGTATCGTGAATATGACAAGCTATTGAAGGAACGAATTCATGTTCTTGTTAGCAGTAAGAGCAAGAAATAACGTGATTTCCCGGCTACATGGTCATTCAGAAGAAGTTTGTGGATTGAAATGGTCAGGAAGAGGCAATATCTTGGCAAGTGGAGGCAATGAGAATCTTATTTATATATGGGACTCTGCCAAAATGAGTTCCTCCAATTTCTTGTACTGTTTTGATGACCATCGTGCTGCAGTCAAGGCCCTAGCCTGGTGCCCTTATCAGTCAGATGTACTTGCATCTGGAGGTGGCACACAAGATGGATGTATTAAGACTTGGAATGTACAAAAGGGAACTTGCATAAGCAGCATAGATACCAAAGCTCAGGCAAGATAGGGAAAATTTTTTTGTTATTGTAAATATTTTCCTGCACAACTGAGTGGTATATGCATCAAACCAATATAAGTTCATCAAAATGAATATGTCTTTGGACCTCGCCTAGTTCAATTGCCAATTATTTTTGTTGATCAACAAGTTTGTTTCACTTAATAGCACAAATTGTTACCGCCTTAACTGCTGGCTATCAAACCCCAAAGGCAGGTGCGTTGAACTAACTGAAAGTACTATGGTGTTTTGTGCAGGTTTGTGGGCTAGAGTGGAATAGGCACCACAAGGAGATACTAAGTGGTCATGGATTTAGTACTGGTACGCATCAGAACCAGCTTTGCTTATGGAGGTATCCATCCATGACTAATGTAGGATGCTTAAACCGTCACGCTTCCAGAATTCTCCACCTTTCACAGGTATGGTTGCCTTTTAGTTTTAACAAATCCAGATCTAATTTATTATGATATGCAGCGTTGATGACTTTTTATGTCTTTCTTTTACATGCAGAGCCCTGATGGCTTGACGGTGGTATCAGCTGGGGCAGATGAGACCCTTCGGTTCTGGGATATTTTTGGTCCACCCAGTCAAGAAGGTTCCGAGACATCAGAGTTAGATAACCTCTTGTCCTTGAAGATATCCCCAATACGATGATGTGAATGAGTTTATTCCTAGTATTATTTGCTGTAAATATTTGTTCTTCATTGCTTAGCATGACTTCTGTCCAATGGATGATTTACTGAGAGAAATACATGTAATTGGTGAGGAACAGTGGCATAGGTTTGTGAACTTGCATAAGAGGTGGAGTTGAAACAAGTTTACTAATTCACATAGTGACCTCAATCAACAGGTTTTCAAGTGTCCATAAGAGGATGTGTTCATTGAAGCATATATGATTATGAAGAACTAACTCGAATATACAAAAGAATTATGACTACTACTCCAGATCAAAATTTGGCTGCTCTATCTGAACATTACACCTAATCACCTACTGGGTACAAATGGCCACATTACGATTTATAGCTCAAAGTTACAAAATTAGAAAGATCAACCAAAATTAAAAATCATCAAGCATCTGCGTCAGCATCACTATCAGGATAAATTTCTTCTGTAGTAGCTTCCCCGGGTGTCAATGTCTCTTCCTCCTCCTCTCTCCTTTTTCTCTCATCCTCCCTCTCCCTCTCAGCTACTTGTGCCTTTGCTTGCTCAAGCCGAAAGCTGACTGCGTCCCATGACACTAGCTTATCCATGAACATTGAAATATATTCAGGCCGCCGGCTCTGTCAAAGTTAAAACAGTCATGTACATAGTTATATGATGGACAAACTCAGAACAGAAGCAACAGCACAATGTTTTATGAAAGTCTCACCTGAAAATCCAGGAAGTAAGCATGCTGTACAGAAATGAAAAACCATTTGAAAGTCAGAAATTGTATAACAATGATTTATAAAGACTTACGTTAGTCTTACATTTACTAATTAAAGATGAACTTTAAAATGTAACAAGTACCTTTTGAATTCTGCACTAAAGTGGAAACACTAAGTCTCAATTAATTTTTGGAAAGATGGTAAAAAAAAAATTAATTTTTGGAACCAGAAAAGGAACTTCTGCAAATTTAATGGAGAGTGAACTAAAATATGGCTATTACAGTCAAAATGCATAGTCTCTTCTTCTAAATGAAAATTTCAACTAAGGTTTAAGATTTTCCATTTTAGTAAAGGGGTTTTAGAAAGTAAAGTTGAGAAATACCTCCCAAACATCAATGGCAAGGAGCGGCTGCAAGATAATTCATAAGAAATCTCGTCAGTCATAAATATGTCATCCACTATGGTTATACCCTGCTTAGCATGACATCAAAAATAAACAGATGAATTATATTTACTTACATAATAATCCCAGATAAGGGGGTTCACAGCATTGGAGCTCTTGACTATTACAAGCTTCTTGTCCTCCTCTGATGGACGAGGATTTACTGCATTCCCGACATTAAGTCTGTTTGCTTTATCTATATTTCAGCATTTGGAGGAAAATAACGAGGTTAGGAAATGTTTGATAGGTTAGATTTAGCAAGACTAGAAGTTAATGAAGAAAAATGGGATATGAAATGGTTTAACTAGCACTCACATACAAGCCAAGCCCAACCAGAACCAAATTGTGTTGCAGCAGCAGCCTTAAACTGATCAACAAATTTTGGAAATGAACCAAAATCTCTTTCAATTAGCCTAAGAAGATCCCCAGATGGGACTCCACCACCGCCTGGCTTAATGCACTCCCAGAAGAAGTCATGGTTCCAAACCTGCAAAAAGGTAAATCTGCATTACTGACAACACCTTGGGAAACTGTACCAGATTCAGTTTGAAATTGGCATACCTGCGCTGCATTGTTGAAAGCTGGAAGAATGTCACCCTTATTGTATGAAATAACTACAATGTCTTCCAGTGACTTCTCCTCTAGATCTGTTCCTTCTATTTGCTTGTTTAGGTTATCTACATATGCTCTGTGGTGCTTCCCCCAATGATACTCTAGTGTCTCCTGGCTCATAACTGGCTCTAAAGCATTCTGAAAATTTTCACAAGGATTAAATATAGGTTCAAAATTGATCCACCCAAGTAAATGCTTCAGAAATTATATGTGAACCCACATTCAATTAGTGATTATGAAATTGATATTGATGTGATTAAAATAACTGAACAGAAGCAATCCACCAATAGGGAAGAATTGTTTTCACTGAGAAATAAAAGACTGATACAGAAAAGAGAAAAGACATTAGCTGCTAGAGATGCTAGTAGTCTTTCCAGTTCCCAAACCTCTCAAAAATTCTCCATAACCCTCTTCCACTCTTCCTACTCCTCTTGAGCCTTCCAATAGAATTTTTTAAACCCACCCAATCTAGTAACAACACATCTCTTACCCAAATCTGTATGAAAACCCAACATCTCTGTGCAACAACCTCCTCACAGCCTTCCTTCCCTCTTCCCTTCAGCTTAGGCCTTAAATAGCCCCTTCATTGGAGGCTCATTAACTATAATATTACTCCAACATATACTGTAGAAGTTTAGACAATTAAACCATGTATAGCTAGCTTACTATCATTTGCAGTCAATGTTACACACAGAGGTTGCTTCATTGTTCATTTGTTGTAATTGTATGCAAATAGAGAACTCAACTGGCTAGATTTCTAAAACTAAGAAAGCAGCATAATAGAATAAAAGATACGAAAGAGAAAAACGGGCAAACTAATTTTACTGAGAAGAATAATTGAGTTATTAACAAAACTACTGTTATGTACATTTATGGTAAGAATAATTGTCCCATTGGTTATACCCTTTATCTTTTGGCTTCACTTATAATGTCTAGCTCCTCCCCAAAAGCAAGGCCTAGTCTACTTTTGGCACAACAACTACAAGCCTTGATCCCCCTAGCTGGTAGTCTACTTTTAGCACAAGTAACTAAAATCATAAATTCAAGTGACAATTATGCGTGTACAAGACACTTAAATACTAACAGGTAAACGAACAGACTTTAGAGCTTACCAGTGAATATGGAGGAGGCTTCAGATCGAACTTTGCAGTAATTTTAGCCCGTACAACTTTCTTTATGCACCTTCTCTGCAGTGCACAACATGCTTAAATGTTTAATATGAAAAACTTGTGTACTTAGTATTATCAACTTACTGAAAAGATATACTTCCTGTAAGATTCTACTTGAGCAATAGCCTTTGTTCTGAGTTATAACAATCTAGCTATCCACTTAAAAGCATTATATTACGTATTTTTCAAATTTATTATATCTGTATCATGTAATATACAAATTGACTGATCATTAGTAAATGAATGACCAAACAAGATGCACAAGGCTAAGAGCAACTCATCCTACAATCCACTTTTAAATTAATGACTTAGTTAGGTGGGCCAATAATATCCTAACAATATTTATAACTGATAATTCTTTTTCGAATAACTTTGCACTAAGATTTCACTAGAGAGTCATTAAATATGAAGTATTAGCTGCCCAAACTTTATATTATTTAGGCTGGTAAGGCCTGCACTTGCCATCCCCTTGGTTATCACTATCATCATCATTATTATTATTTTTAAAAAGGTATTCCAATAGATGCATTCAACCATGAAAGTTGGACAATTGGTGGGATTTGATTCGCTGACACAACATTTGGGCTTCAACTATTGCTGTTGATTCTTTATTGTCAGGCATACACTAACAGAAAATACATTACCCTGATAATTTATATTCATACATGATCATTAAAAATAAGAAGAATAACTCTCCCTATTGCTGGAATAAGTTTATATGGTGGGAAATTCAAGGTACTGCAAATTGCTAGCTGGCAAAAATTTGTTCAGAAGATTATCCTCTTCCTTATTCAGAGGTGAATACATGGTGCCTCCCACTGTCTTCTACTACTGGGGCAACGTGCACGCTGAATTAACAGTGCCCAAAATTAGGAATTAAGGTTTTGTTTCATTTGGATTGTTTGGATAATAGTTTTTCATGTCCAAGATAACTAAAGCTTTTGCTAGGATTTTGGTTGGTCACAATTTTGAACTCGCCTGTGATTCTGGTCTACCTGCCAGTCATTGATTCATATACTCAGATAACTGAGAGCTGTCAGTGTTCCCCTTTGGTTAAGAATCAAACTAATATCAGAATTGCTGTTCATCACCCTGATGTCAATTACCACGCCAACTGAACATCAAACAGTTTCTAGTATAGGCATTGCCAATGCAAGAAGCACATCATACCAAAGGATTTATAATAAAAAAAAAAAAAAAGTTTCTACTTTAACATTGCGCCATACCAAAAGAACACTAAACCCTACAATACTAGTTTTTTTGGCAAACAAGAACTTAAGGCAGCAGTACTATAGGAGCAACGGATTAGGTTGGTTTCAACACAAGTATCAATCTCGCAAACAATATGCTCAGTAAAAATTACAAGTGAAGGCAGCAGCTGCAACACTAACAACAACTAAAAAGGGTAAAGAACAAAATAAAAAAGTAATAAACCTCTTTTTGACCTCATGAGCAAAGGAAACGGATGAAGAGAAGAATTATTGAAAATTTAAAACAGCATTTCATTAACCCATACTTCAATAAATCAAAACCCAGAATTATTATAAGCAAACAAATATTAATTAACAATTCTCATAGACCAAACGGTGCAAGAAGAGCACAAATGAAAGAGCTAAAAACAAGATAGTTGAAAGCAAACCTCTCTGCCAGCAAATCTCAGAGCTCCGAATAAGCCTATCAAACAAGAACCGAAATCAATAACAAAGAAATAACAGAGAACAGAGAACAGAAACGCAGGCGGAGCAACAGAGATGGCAAACCGTGGCGAGGAAGAAAGGCGCAATGAAGTGAAGTAGTGGTAGCGGAAGCTACAGGCAATTCCATTTCTGAGTCTGAGAGAGACTAAAGGGGTTGTTCAATTAGGCGCCACTTCAAGGGGGAAGCTTTTGGTTTTGCCTCCGCTTGCTGTCAGGATAAAGTGCCTTGCAAAATCTTTGCCTCTTTGGTCTGGTCTCGTGGCAAGAGCGACTGGGAACACCAGTGGTACCATGGGTTACTACAGTACTCTGAAGTTGATGGATATATAATTACGTGCCTTTTTTTTTTTTCTTTTTTTGGTCTTTTCAATTATCAAAATCGGCAAAATCATACTCCTCGATAGACACTATACACCGCAACTAGGCGTATCAAGAAATTAGTTAAAATTTTTTGATAAAAAATAGCTAAAATTTATTAAAGATAATAAATGTATAGGAATATATTTTATTTGTCAAAAATGTCCTTATTATTCATGAAAAAAAGTGAGTGTATATGAGAGAGAAAATGGATGTTAAATATGCAAATGAAATGCCGCCACCTATAGTTTATAAAGCTAAATAACTAATTTGCAAATATTAAAAAAGTTAGTTAAATTAGTTATTCATAATAAATATACATTGTTTTTTTCTAAAATATATATTAATTATGTGTACTAAAGGTATTATGGGATGAAAACTTTTTAACATGGGCCACTATGGTCCTAAATGTAGGGCCATTGTAAAGGAAAGTTTTTACTCTAAATATAAGTCAATTATAATATAGCTAATGTTTGTTTTTTAATTTTATTCTCACTTAATTTTTATTGAAAAATGAGAAAGAAGGGAGAGATGTGATAATAACTTGTAAATATAGGGAGAAAGAGATAGCTTTATAAGGATAAAATAAAAATTTTTTTACAACTTAACACATTTTTTGATGTGTGAGAATGTGTTATAAATAACTTATATTAGGGACCAGAGTGGTACATTCACTATAGAAATTACTTAAGAAAAACATGGATAAACACTGAAGATAATAGATTGGAATCTTATATTTATAATTAAATTAAATCTCTAATTAAAAATAGAAAGTAGTATAATGAATACAATAATACAACATGTAATTAATAAAGATAAAGATGAGGGGGGAAAGGTAAGTTTAATTCTACACACTTTTAAATGACATTCATGCAAACATAGATGCACGCACAACATAGATACATGATACACTTGTGAGTGATATGATATAACTCTGAAGCTAAGTATGAGCCAATTGCTGAGTTGGTTTTTTTTTTTTTTAATTTAATAGTGAGTTGGTTTTATGTCAAAATCCCAATCTTCAATCTATTTCATCTTTTATATTTATTATTTTGTCCCAAATTATTTTATCTAAATATCTCACATATGAACAGATATATCACCTAATGTTATATAGGAATATTTCAGATTTGAGAGAGTTTATATCACATTTCCTAAAATTAAGAAATTTTTTTAAATCTATTCAAATTATCTCCCCCCAAGAGTTCTTTTGGGATGCCGTGCTTTCGGCATGCATTTGTATCGATTGAAGTTCTCTGGACTCGTACGATTGAAGGCGAAGATAACCTCTTGATGGTGCCAGATCAGATTCGCAAGCTGTGGTGCATCTATTGGATTTTTTTTTCCCCCCTCTTGGGACTGTTACTTTTTTCTTTTTTACAAAAAAGTGAAGTTCGGTTTCCATGCCTCATCAGTATCCCGACATGCCTCTATGCTTAAATAATACTTAAAAAGCTATTTATATACTACCTTCGATCTTTAATATAAGACTTTTTTTGACTTTTATTTTGATCCTAAATATAAGACTCCAATCCACTTTGTCTTTTATATTTAGATATTTTTTTCCAAAATAACCATTCTAACAATAATAGTTCTAATCAATACATTTGATTAGTAAGTATATTTTAGGAAAGACAACACTTATTTAGAATAGGGAAAACCATATTGGAGGTACCTATACTTTTTTTCAATTTTCAATTTGATACCTATGTGTTTTTTGTTCTTAACTAAATCTTTATTTTTCCTCTATTAACATCATTAATCCTTATGTAGAGACTAAAAATATCAATAGAACAAAATTATAAGAGCTAATGTTGCTAAAAAGATAAAATTAAATGTTTAATTAAAGAGAAAAAAATACATAGGTACCAAATTAAAAATTGAGAGAAAGTATAGGTACCTTCAATATGGTTTTCCCTTTAGAATAAATAACTAACTCAATTTATTTCTTTAATCTCCTCAAATTACTCAACTAGTTATTATAATTAGGACAGGAGGTAGTATTACACACCAACAAAATTCTCACATCATTAGCAAAATTTGAACTTATAACCTTGTGGATTTGTCACTTAGTAGTCCAACTTGTCTCCAATTGTTATAGAAGCTGGTTTTCTATGAAAGCGGCTTCCTTCACAAGCACCCCACAATGCAAAATTAGACAGTCCAGATTTAGCTTCTTTTTTTTTAATAATGTTTTTAATGTTTTTTTCTAGGTACAAATATTATCCTATTGAAAACAGTCATATTAGAGGCATTGTTATCATTAGAAGTGGGTATCTTTTCCAACAAAAATTTGAACCTTGGTTTAATATTTTATAATGTACAAAATTTAAAATAACAATTATTTCTTAACTATCAATTTTTCAAAAAAAAAATACTTTTTACTTAAAAGTTATCAGTTGAAAATTTTAAATCTCCATGAAACTATGTTTTTTTTTATCTGTCATGAAACTATGTTTAAACCGTGCAAATCTCACTGCACCCATCAGTATTGTGCTATTACAATGGCCATGGAGTGGAACATTCTAAGAACATCCAAATCAAGACGCCAGTGAGTCCAAGATATCAAATTATCACTTGGAGATTTAACAAGGGCTTCACGAAGCCATACATGAATCATATGAGATACAAATGATGAAAGATTGTCCCCAACATCATCGTCGAGAGTAATATTTGAATTTCCCAATTCATCTCCAGTAAGAGGGAACTCGTATGATTATTTAATGGTTTGTTTATGCACTAATATGGTGATTTTGATGGGGTTGATGATTTGCATTATGTGCACACTTGAAACTTTGGAGAATGAAAGAAATTTATCAAATCTGCTCGGTTAGAAACCCTAGAATTAACTATTGGTGTCTGGAATGGAATCAGAAAGTATATATACTATCTCTGATTTTTAATATAAGACCAACCGACTATGTTGAAAAGATTAACTAAACTAAAAATTTACTTTAAAGTATTTATATTTATTATTTCTCTTCAAACTAATTTGTTTGACCTATAAATTAATATATAATCTAATGATATATAAATATTTTAAAAAGATTATATAACATTTATTACAATAATATAATTAAATGCTTTTTTTAATTTCATTAATCTCTCCAAATTAATTAGTTGGGTGTCATATTAAAAATCGGAAGTAGTATAATAATAATATGAACAAATTAGGAGACATGAAGTTTATTGGTTATGCAAATATGAGATGTTCAGAACTAAAACTTATGTTAAGAATATTTAGGATTACTCAAAACATTCATTAAAACCACTTGATGATTCACCAAGGGTAAATCTAGTTAGGCTAAAAATCGGGTTCAGTATGTGTGTATACATAATTATTTGGATCATCCCCTCGTCCTTCCTCTTTTTTTTTTTTTTTTTTTGCCTGCATTAGATCAAAACATTAATAGTTAAAATTTAACGTCAATATCTTCTACGGATTTAATGAGATATAAATGCTTCATTGAAAGAGTAAGAATAATGAGTCATTCAACCGGACACACACATTAAACATTCCATTGATGCAGGGGGATGAAATCTAGTTCTGGTTAATATGGGGCTAAATTGGTGTTTGGATTGTTAAGGATTTGTTGGATTGCACGTTGGGACTTGGCCTCTCCCAAAATGGTTGAGAGCTTCTTGTGGCAGAATTAAGACAACTCTAAGTTCTCCTTCCTTCTCTTGAGCCTGGTGGCGCTTTGTTCATGGCCTGTGTGCCATGTGTGTTCTACTAGTTTAGCAAACAATTTATGGCTAAAACAGAAATTAGAAAGAGCCAAAACCTAAAAATTGATCAAAATACGAAAAAAGGAAAAAAAAAAAAAAAAGAATCGGCCTAATAGAGAAACTATAATGGAGCAAAAATAATTACTCATCCTATCATCCTCTTTCAACTATAATCATTCCAAAGGAACCACTAAAGGAGATAAGGGGCATGAGTGATGAAAGAGGACGTGAAGAGGGATCAACCTGAAGCTGTAAAATCTGAAGAACAAGCCGTGACAATGACAATGCTGGAGAACGTAAATGATGAAGGAGGATATAGAGAGGGACATTAATGAGGTAGGCCAGATGAATATGGTGGTTGACAGACCATACGAATATGGGCCTTCATTTTCATCTGGTTGTCTGATCAGATGAATACGGAGGCCTAAACGCGTCTGTTTTGATCCAATAGACAAGTATGGGCCTCTATATTCATCTGTTTTCAATTTCAGACGAAAATGAACCTTTTTATAGTAGTAACGATCAACAAAAACAAAAAGAAAAGACCAAAAATGATGAGGGGATGGTGGTTTAGAGAGTTGCAATGTCTGGGCACAGGCTGAGAACCAGAAGAGACGCCTGAAATTTCAAACTCAGGTCAAACGAAACGAACAAAAATGGAGATTTTAAAACATAATACTTAATGATTTTTTAATATAACCATAAAGTATTTGAGAGAAATATTTGACGGTTATAATAAAAAAACGTCAAGTACTATTAAACTTGACGATTTTGCTAGGAACCGTTGAGTGTATAATTCTATGAACATTTCAATAGAAACTAATTCACTAGTTTTCAATTGAATCAGATCGGTCCAATTCTTGCATAGTCCTCAATTCAAGCTAGTATTCCCGAGGGAAATACATGTAACTGGTGAAGAACAGTGGCATATTTATATGAAGTTGCAAGTGCAAGAGCTGTGAAAGTTTAGAGAAATTTATTAATTGACATTGCGACTTCCACTAATAGGTTCTCAAGATATCCATGAGATAGAGGTTTATTAAAAAGTGTATACAAAGCACGGATTCAAACACAAAAGCATACTCCATCACTGATGAAAAATTTCGCTGCACCATTATCTGACCTCTCTAGTACCCCTATTGAGGATAAATCTCCTCCATAGCTTCCAGGATGTCAATGTCTCTTCCTCCTCTATTATTTCCCTCTCAGCTTCCTTGGTTTTTGTGTCTACACCAGAGCCTTCGCTTGTTCAAGCCTTGCACTGACTGCATCCCATGACACGAGCTTTTCCATGAACACAGAAATATAATCTGGCCGCCGGTTCTGACAATCCAAAACAGTCATGGATATAGTTAACTGTTGCACAAAACAAAAGAGAAAGCAGCAACAACGAAAATGTTTTATGGGACTAACCTGAAAGTCTAGATAGTAAGCATGCTGCACAAAAATGGAAAAACATCGCAACGTCAGCAATTGTAAAATAATGAATTATAAAGATTACACCAGTCTTTCCTTTGCTATGTACGGAAAAATCACATTTTACCCCCCTCTAAACTAAAGTATAACAAACTCACCACATGCAGTTCAACATGTAATAAAACGCTTTTGAATTTCAGACAGAAATGAAAAATGTTAAAACTGAGTTAACTTTTCGCAAAAGAAAAAGGGAAAATTAGCAAGTTTGTTGAGTGAACTAGAAAGCTGGACATTATTGTGAAAACCAAATAGCTCCTTGCGGTTTAATGTCAATTTTCACTCAGATATAAGCTTTTTCATTTCAGTTCAAATATGAGGTTTCTTTTTTTTTTAGCTGCTTTCTAAAATTCATTACTGTAAAAACATTTTTAATTAAGTTTTAGTTTGAAGGGTGAAATGCCATTTAAATTATAAAGAAAGTGAAGTTGAGAAATACCTCCCAAACATCAATGGTAAGGAGCGGCTGCAACACAATAGTGAGAGATCTCATTAGTCATATAACGCAGATATCATCCAGAGTGCTTCTAAACTATCCTAACATGACATGAAGATATAAACAAGTATTATAATTGATCACCATTACTTACATAACCATCCATGACCAGGGGGTTCACAGCATTGGGAGTCTTGACTATCGCTAGCTTGTTGTCCTTGACTGATACATGAGAATTTAGAGGAATATAAGAAAATAGGAAGTACTTGATAGGTGAGATTTAGCAAGTAAAACTGAGAATGAACCAAGAAAATGGGAGATGAGATGGTTTAGTCAACACTCACATATAAGCCAAGCCCAACCAGAACCAAATTGTGTTGCGGCAGCAGTCTTAAACTCATCAGAGAACTTTTCAAACGAACCAAAATCTCTTTCAATTAGTTGTAGAAGCTCCCCAGATGGGGGCCCCCCACCACCTGGTTTCATAGACTCCCAGAAGAAGTCATGGTTCCAGACCTGCATAAAGTAAATTTGGATTACATAACAACTTTAAAAAATTTAGATTTGTAGGTTGAAAATAAACATACCTGTGCTGCATTGTTGAAAGATGGAAGAGGATCACCCTTATTGTATGAAAAAACTACAACGTCTTCCAGTGACTTCCCTTCTAGTTCAGTTCCTGCTATTTGCTTGTTTAAGTTATCTACATATGCTCTATGGTGCTTCCCCCAGTGAAACTCAAATGTCTTCTCGCTCATAACCGGCTCCAAAGCATTCTGAAGGTTTCATTAGGATATGATATAGGTTGAATATCAAACCACCAAAACAAATGTTCCAGAAATTATATGTGAACCCAAATTCAATTAGCTATAGTGAAATAGATCTTTAAGGAATTAAAATAGATATACAGCAGAAATCAATCAGTACAGCAGAATTGCTTTCACAGAGAAATAAGAGACAAATACAAAAAAGAAAAGACACACTGGCTATTTATGCAAGTAGTCTCACCGATCTCTTCTTTCAGAGTCATTTCTATCCTTTCTTTTCACTAATATTCCTAGTTTTAATCCGTTCTTTACAGTTCATTTCTATCACTAATGTAACTATTATGAGCATTAACAATGAGAACCCAATGCTAAAGACAATAACTACGATTTTTTATTTTTGTATAACTAACTTCCTTTTTGGATTGTGTTATGAATAATAAATATTTAACAACAATTTCAGCGGTTTTAATTGTTAAAGAAGAGATGAGTTCCCTCCTAAAAAGAATGCTACGTAAATGTTGAAGTGAAAACAGTTCTGACCAAAAGCAAGTCTAAGTCTTTACCTTTAGCAAAATTAAATTAAGGAACCAAAATCATAAATTCAGATGAAAGTTAAGCAAGTAAAATCGACAGTTGATACTGACAGGTGCAAGTGCAACATCCAAAGCTTACCATTGGATACGGAGGAGGCTTCAGATCAAACTTTGCAGCGATTTTAAGAGATCCTAGTTTCCTTATGCACCTTCTCTACAATGGACCAAAAGACTCTCTTAAATGGCTAATACAAAATTGTGTACATAGCTAATAATTGGAAAATTGTCGCAGCAGCTTCCTGTAAGATTCTAGCCGAGTAGAAGCTTTAGTTTATTCAGAGCCGTAATAATCTGGCAATCCATCTAAAAAAATTATAATACTTATATTTTTTTTTTTCATATTTATTAAATCCTCAAGTAATATTCTAGTTGACCGATCATTGACCAATGAATGACCAAATAAGACGAAAGAAGTTACAAACAACTCAACCTACACACTAATTTAACATAATTATAAACTAATTTAACCTGATCAGTTAGTGATGGAGTTTAGTAATATTCCAAAAATATTGGTAACAGATGCTTGAGCTATGAGCGTCTATTCACCTCAGGTTTCAGGGCTACTCACTTGCTAACCACAAAATCTCTTGCATAAAGTATTAGATTAGATGAGTTAAGCCAACAAGGTTATGAATCAAATTAGTATTAGCTTTATTCCGCATCATATTGTGAGTTCTCATGTCTCTTCCACAAGAATTAAGCAGTTTCTCACATGGAACAACAACAGTTTGAAAATTCACACTCTCAATGACCACATGATTCAAATAAAGTAGTACAAGTAGAAACACGCTTAGAACAAGATAATCGAAAGCAAACCTCTGTGCCAGCAGATACCGGAGTTCCGAAAAACCCTGATCAACCAAAAAACCAGAATCAATAACAAAGAAAGATTAGAGACAGAGAAGCAGGAAGAACAAATAGAGATATCAAAACCTTTGCGAGGAAGAAAAGCGCATTGGAGCGAAGAAGCTGTCGCAGAAGTTGCCAGAAGCTCCATTTGTGAGCCAGAGAAGGGATTGAACGGGTGGCTCGAAATTACACACTGCTTCAGATTTCGGCTCTGCTTTATTTATGCTTGCTGTGACTGTCCTGACTCCTGACCTTGCTCTTGGAGACAAGTGCCTCACTCACAAAGCGTCAAAGGAGGGTTCCAGAGGTGGGTAAATGACATTCAAGGACCCAGCCATTGAATCCATATTAAAAAAAGAAGTAACAATAACCGTTGAATTTTAATTTTTAAAATACCTACGAAGGGCCAAAAGGTCATTTCAAGTCATTTTTCATTAGAAGACATAATTATCCTTTCTATTCGTCACATATTTCTGCGTCTTCGTTCCCATGAAACCCACCTCCTTCGGTTAGAGAAGTTTTCACCGCAGGATGATGGCGCTTTGATTGATTTAGATAAATTAAAAAAATTAAATTAATTAATTGATGATAATAAATGTAATAGTTTTTAAAAGGGTTATAAAATGATTTAAATTTTTATTAAATTATGGAGATCAATATTTTAGATAAAAAAATACAAAACACAAAAATATATGTTTTAAAACTTGAGAAACTAAAATCTAAAAATAATAACGTTGTATTATTATTTCTTTAAAATATTTCTATACATCAATTAGGTTAATTAGTTTAAAAAATAATAAATATAAAAATTAAAAAATAGATTAAAATTTTATATTCATAATTAAATTTAACCCTCAGCAAACTTCAATACACTGGAGACCTGAAAACGAGCTGTGACTATGGGGAAGACATAGATGAGTGAAGCGGCCATGGCACAGTGATAGGCAAGGAGAGGAAGAGGAAAATTGGTTTGAAGGGTATTCTTGTCTATTCATATAAAACTTGGAATTAAAAGCGGGGTAGGTAAAATTTAAAAAATTCGCATGTCATTTTACATGCTTTTTAGGTTCTCCAATGAAGTACACGTGTACTACAAGCGGACGTCAGCTTTGGCACCAGAACGCAAACGTCAATTTTAAGGATAACATTAATTATAGTTGGGAGAAAAAGGGCAACAAGCTAAATCGTGTTAAAAAAAAAGGATAGTAGTGGTAAGGAGAGATAAGGCTTGTGGAATGGCCCGTGGCCACCACGCGACCAGATTCCATGAGTGGGGCTACTCCGATCCATGCACTGTGTAACTAAAGATATGTGGACGATGCATTTGAGAGTCCCCCAAAATATCAATGCTTCCTTGGCCAAAGTAATAATAAAATTGTCAAAAGTAATCATTCTAAAGTTTAGTTTTTAGTCATTAGTACAATAATAGGATACTATGCACCAACACTCTCTGGATTAAGGGTAGCAGTTTTCTTTTGTATTTAATACTGCCTACGTTTCTTATTATAAGAGACGTTTAATGCTTATGACATATTTCTATATATAAGAGACACTTAAAAGTTGTCTCTATTTTTTTGTGTTGATTTCCTATTTTATCCATATTTATTATCTCCTACTCATACTCTCTCTCCTTCCCACTTCTCTTTCTTTGAATAATTTACCATTGTTCTCTTTCATGCTCTCTCTCCTTATCAATAAGGGTTTTTTTGAAAAAAAAAATTATACTTTTTACACATTGATTGTTTTTAACTAATTTTAACTGTTTTTTTATCAACGTAATTCGGTTATTCGTCTCTTATAATAAGAAACAGAGGGAATACAATTTAAATGTATGCAGGTTTATAAACATGTCAGTGTCGATTTAAATTTAAAACTTCATCCAAATATAACAGATGGTATTACTAGTTGCTACTAAGATGTCCAGTCATTGATAGGTAGTAGCCTCATTCTCATGAAAAAGAAAATATAATTTTCAATTTTAGGAAATACAATGACTTATTGGGAGAGATGAAAATCATTAATCATCAAATCCAAACTTTAAAAAATCCAAACTTTAAAAAAGATTAGTTTCAAATCCTAAAATGGTTTGGGATAGCCTTGCTAATTCACGTCATTACAATAACAATAAATATGTAAAATAAGATCTAAAATACCTAAAGGAATTAATGCTAATATAATTTTGAAATAATAAATACAAGTTTTTTTAAAAATAACAGTTTAAGTAAATAATATTTATTTGAAAAAATATGCACCGTTTAAATTAAAATTGTTCTTAGATAGTTAGACCTTTAGAGCTTTATACTTGTGGAACAATGGAGAGAAGTTTGAAGGAGGTAGTTATAGAGAAGAAGCAAGGGCATTCTAGTTCAAATTTCAAAAGCTTCTTACAACTGAAACTTTAGACATATTAAGTTTCAGGCCTTTAGATTTATTGAGATGAAACTATATTTAAGGTTGACCATGGTTTTATAACTTAATAGCATGAAAGCTCTTCTACGAATAAAAAGTCACGAGTTTGATTCTACTTATAACTTTAAACAGTCAATACTTACACTTATAACTCAAAAAGATACTACTCTAGGCTTTTGTATGTCATCACTAATGAGTTCATTCTAATGAGATAGTATTGTTACATAAACCCTTTCTATGAATGAAAGGTCACGGCTTTATAACCTAGTGACATGAAAACTCTTCTGTAAATGAAAGGTCATGGGTTTAATTTCACTTATAACTCTAAACTATTAGTAGTTAACCTTCTAATTTAAAGATAGTGCTCTAAGCTCTTGTGCGTTATCACTAATAAGTTCATTCTCATGAGATAGTATTGTTACACAAGGAGCAATCAAAAGGATTCCAAGTATTGCACAAGACAAACAGTTTGATTAAAGCACACATGAAGCACAAACTCAAGCACGCGAAAGCATTAAGGTTATCAGCTCCGGTGGTCGGAGAAATGTCGGCAGCTCCAGGATTTGACCTCCATCACAACACAGATATTACAGATTACAATTTATTGCTCACAGTTGTTACATCTTTCTCACTTCTCAGCATTGCTTGTCTTGGCTCTTTCAAGCTTGCAGCTGACAGCTTCCCATGAAACCAGCTGATCCATGAACACCGATATATAATCCGGTCGCCGGTTCTGTCAACACAAAACAGCCATGGATATGGTTATATATATATATTCTTATATATATGGTCAACAAAATTGTAGAGAGACAGTGGCAAGAGCATAATATCTGACCTGATAGTCCAGATAGTAGGCATGCTGTGCAGAAATGAAAAAAACCACACCAAAGTCAGCAAATTTTATGATCATTTTGGACTTTGAGGGTAAAATGCTGTTTTCTTTTAAAAAGAAAGTAAAGATGTGGAATATATACCTCCCAAACATCAATGGTAAGGAGTGGCTGCAAGACAATAATAAAAAGATCTCATTAGTCATAAAATGCTGACTGCTTCTGATGACATTGAGAATATACATAATTATTTTAATTAGTCAATATGATTACTTACAACGGAGCCCCAAACAAGGGGGTTCACAGCATTGGGACTCTGAGCAATTTTCAATTTCTCGTTCTCATCTGATACAAAACGCAATTAGCAACACAAGTGCTTTATATATTAGCTAGATTTTAGAAGCAGAACTAGACATGAATGAACAAGATAGATGCAGGAAAACTCACAGATTAGCCAAGCCCAGCCAGAACCAAATTGTGTTGCAGCAGCTTTCTTAAACTGATCAGCAAAGTTTTGGAAGGAACCAAAATCTCTGTCAATCATATGGTAAAGATCCCCAGATGGGATCCCACCACCACCTGGTTTCATGCACTCCCAGAAGAAGTCATGGTTCCACACCTACCAGAAAGACTCAAATCTGCATTATTTGCTGTACACGAAACTTGCAGGCTTCCAATATGAGCAAACACACACAAAACAAGTCCTGTCCCACTAAGTAAGATCTGTTATATAAATTTTACAGTGCCACTGTACTCTACTGCAACCAGATCTCTGGATATATTATTAACTAAAAAGTCTGAATAACTTTATTGAGTATTTAGACATAATGATATGTTATACCTGTGCGGCATTGTTGAAAGTTGGAAGAGTGTCTCCCTCATTGTATGAAACAACTATGACGTCCTCCAGAGACTTGCCTTCAAGATCAGTGCCTGATATTTGCTTATTTAAGTTATCTACATATGCCCTGTGGTGCTTCCCCCAGTGAAACTCTAGAGTCCTCTCACTCATCACCGGCTCCAAAGCATTCTGATGGTTTTCATTAATTACCATCAAATATATCAAAGTAAATGCTCCATAAACCATCAACATATCAATATATCCATGTATAACTCATACGAAATTCTATTAAGTACTGTTCATAAATCATGAATAGTATACGGCTGAAATACTGTTTAGCCATAGATCTTTATGGAATTAAGGGTAACAGAGTAGGCAGCACTACTTTCACTTGGAAGCTTTTGGATCAGCTTTAAAAAAAAAAAAAATTTGATTTTTATGTTTTATAAGGCAAAATTCTTCTCACATATTTATCTTGTACAACGCAAAACTAATTCTCCTACAGTTAATCCAAATAGGCCTTAAGAGACTAATACATAAAAGAGACAAAGAATGACTATTTGAGATGCTAGTAGCATCGCTGGATAATCTCTCAAATTCCTTTACAATCTTTCTTTCCATTTCTGAAACTTCTTCTATGAGATCTTAACAGTTTATTACTCTGACAGAAAGGATAATATCATTAGAATGAAACAAAAATACAAAAACCAGTATAAACAAACCAACAAGACCACCCTACACAAAATGAAAACGAAATAGAATATATAACACAGACTCTAAGAACTCAAACAAAGCCACCAGGACCAGACAAAGCAACTAAACCCAAAGTCCTTCAGATTGAAAATTGAAAGAATAATAGCTAGTGGAGATATTTTAGAGCTCACCAGTGGATATGGAGGAGGCTTAAGCTCAAACTTGAGAGGGACTTTAGCTGCTTCAGTGGAAGAAGAATCCATTTCTGGTTCAGCTTTTGGTTTCTTTTATTTGGCTTATGATCAAAGTGCCTCACAAACAAAGCCTTTGACTCTCTGGGGTTGTGAAACTGGGCGAGCTAGTAAGCACTGGAGCATGACATTTCACAACACCATGTCGACATTATTATGAGGACCACAAGTTTTTACAAAACTCCAAAGAAATGAATGCTAAAATCTATTATTAGAATTATTTTTCTTATAAATTGACAATAATGCTCTCAGAACAATTTTTTATTTAAATTTCTTTTAGTGTTTTAATTTTGAACTTTTTAATATTTATTTTTAATTTTTTTTTCAGTACCTATTTTTGAAGTATTCATGTTTTGAAACTAAAAAAAAAATTAAAAAGACAAATATTGCAAAACGGAGTGAGTTAGTACTAGCAGTACGCCAGCTCTGTAGCTTTGTAGTACAAGCCACAAGGTGCCCTCGCAATTTGACTAAGCATTATTAATAAAAGTAATAGTTTCTAGTTGAGCTCCGGACATCAATCAAATGATACATGCACAGATACCCTCCTCCAATTGGTTGGGAAAATAACATAAAAATAGAAGGAAGTTGAAAATTACAATATTTTAATTCAGGCTCTTATAATTATTAAAAGTAATGCCTGATTAGGTATTTTATAAATATAGTTAAATAACAAAAATATTATTATATCAAAAAGTTCATTAACAAGTTGTGAGCTGACAATAACAAATGTTAAATAACAAATGATAAAAAATACACTAGCAATAACAAGTTATTTATTAATAAGTTGTGAACTGATAATAACATGTGTTAAACAACTAATGACAAGAAATGTACTAACAATGACAAATTCAATGGCTTTTTTTTTTTTTAAATTTGCTATTAGAACATTTTAGTCATTTGACTATATTTATAAAATACCAAATCAAGCACTATCCCTCTTTTAGGATTTTGAATTCTTAGGTGTTTGAATTAAAATATTACAATTTTTAACTTTTTTATGACATTATCCCCAGCTATTTTAAAATGATACTGACTCCTGTCTTAATTATAAGACCTTATTTATAAATTACAAACGAGATTTTATAATTAAGACTAGAGGTATTATAAATTTTATGTTAATGTTAATATTAATTAATTTTAATTAATATGTATAAAATAATTAAACATGTCTTATAAAAGGAATTGAAGGAGTTTTAATATGATATATGATGATATATGATTTGATAACTTAACATAGTGGACATTAGGAGCTTGATGTGAGTATTGTCCTTAAAGTTATGGTACGAATTTATCCTGAAAATTTTTATTTAGAAGTAAAATTGTCCGTGAAAGGTTTTTTTTCCGGTTTAATGTTACTTCAAAAAATTCAAAACGAAACAATGTTGTCCCACTTCATTAAAAAACTTATGCTGACTTTTAAAAAATTAATGTTGACCATTAATAATTTTAATTAAAAAAGACACTATAATTTCATTTTAACACTTTTATGGCAGCTTTAAACCCAAAACAACTTATGAAGCAACGTTCCTCATGAATCAAAACTTTCAGATCAACCTTGCACTTTAACTCTTGTTTTTAATACTACCTCCTGTCTTAATTATAAGAGTCCGTTTATAGTCTACAAATAAGGTTTTATAATTAAGACATGAGGTAGTAATATTGTTAAAGCTAAACTACATGCAATTTTTTCAAATTTAGATCCATAGAAAATAACTTTTTTAATTGATAACCTTAAATTATCAATTTTATAACGTTTAAAATTTATTTTTGTATGCATATAAGCATTCAAAACTTAATTTATATGCAAATGATTTTTTAAATTTAAGTCAATTTACAGTTAAATAATAAACAAAATTAATAGTATAAGAGTTATGTGTGTAAATTTGAAAGCTTAGGAAAGTTTATTGTAGAATTTCAAAAGTTATGCAGAATATTTATCAGGTAGAGGAAGTTTATATAATTTAGCCTACTATATATAAACGTTACAATGAAAACATTGACATTGGTTGAATTTGAATAGCGTAAGGTACAATTAAAAGTTTTTACTTATAAATATTAGGCACTTGGAAGTTTTTAGAGGTACAAATTTGTCATGAAAAATTTAAAACCGTAACATTTTTGCTCTTTATCATTAAAAATATTTAATGATCAATATCACTATTTTAATCATTTAACATGCAAAAAAACAACATTGCTATGATTTAAACTTCAAAAAAATTTCTGAGTCAAAACTTTAAGGAGAAATTTATACCTTAACCAATATTATTTTTTCGGACTACGCCCTTTTTTTTGGGCCAATTCGGACTACCCCATTGCTCTTGGCGTTTCCTGTGTAAGTTTAATGTTAAGTACGCTTGTACTACAAAACGTACTTTTAAGTCCACGATGGAGAAATGAAAAATGGAAATAAGAGTCGCGTAAAATATTAGAAACCTTAATTATTTGTATGATCAATTTTTGTATGATCAGTAATATTATCAAGTTTTTAAAATTTAATTAATAATATTTAAAAAATCAGTGTCAGACTCTTAAAAATATTATTAAATTTTTTTTGTAACATTTTTTTTTGGCATCAAGTACTGCATCCCATTATAAGAATTAAGAATTTCATCATCTACTTTAACTCCGTCTCCCTCATTCAATTTCCTGTCTCTCTCATTCAATTTTCTCTTTTTTTTTATATTTTTTCTTTTTGACAAAAACAAACCTTCTGTTGCAAAAAAAAAATAAAAACAAGACTTCAAATAGTTGTTGCTGTTGTTGTTAAAAAATTGCATAAAAAACCAATATTCCATATTTAACTCAACAAGACCAAGACTTCTCTTCCTTCATTCATATTCAATTTGATTTATAAGTTTCTTTCAAACACACGCATCCTTCCCTTTTTTTTCAGCAAAAAAAAGGTAATTTAAGTCTGTTTCAACGAGTCTAAACGACCCGGAACTAGTTAAAGCTGATGGGGCAATTGGTTGAACTAGCCATATTATATTTTGAAACAATTCAATCGATAATTCTAATAGTCTGTTTGGACTAAGCGTAAAAAAAATAACTTATTTGTAATCTGATTTTTAAAAAAATAAGATTGGGTAATGAAGTAATTCGAGCATACCTGAAGTATAAGATAGTCTCAGATAGCCACACGGAGGTCCGGTTACTATAGGAACTCGGATCTGGATACACAGCAAATGCACAGAAGATGAAAAAGAGAGAACTCTTGTGTGGGAAAGAAAGGAAAAAACCGTGGGGACCGGAGGTTCTGTGTTGTATATAAAAATGGATCCCTCCCTGGTGGTTTCATATGTCCGTTGAAACAAAAAATAACTGCCTTCAGTTTTGATTTAATCCCCACGATTACTTAACCACTTTACAATAAAAAGGGGTAAATCGCAGTTCTCAACCCACATCTTATGTTTATTTACATTAGGACCCCGAAGTAAATGGATTTGGGTCCAATCCACCAAGGGTGAACTGACCCACTTTCTTACATCTCCCACTCACACTTGGTGGATTAGATGTCGTGGGTCTAGTCTCTTTCTTACCTCAATTTCATACGAAGTGCTTTGCCGTGACCGCATGGGCATGACGTCTTTACTTGGGTCCTTGTACTAGAAATCCTTTTTATAGGATCAGTACAAGTCACCTTCTCCTTTGTGTAGCTTGAATTTTGATGTTATGCCTCAGATGTCCCAGATTTACTTATATACATTTTTTCACGGTAAATCTAATCCCTCTCGAGTCAACGGTTGACTCAGATGACCTTTCTCATATGCCTAGTGTCCACACTTACGACCACGAAATGTCATAAGGGACATGTCACAGACACTAGCACAGGTGTGTATATCACAGTCAATCTTCCTTTCGCCCAAATATCACTTTGAGATGAATCAGTCGCTTTCTTAGCATACTACCTTATATCGCATCAATCATGACCATAGGATATATGCCAAAGTAGCAGTCACTGAAACATCTCTTCATGATATTGTCAAAGTCAAAGGACACCAACAGGAGGATAATTCCTCCCTGGGACTCACACAGCAATGAAGTAGGGATCTTTCACTTGCTTCCCTTTTGCGGTTCTCCCAGCACATGTGGTATGAAACACATGCTACGGTGTTACTCTTTTACTATAAGAGCGTATGTCGATTTGGATTTATTATTAACACCGTACAGACTTAGGTCCAGACACACTCAGTATCTAAACCCAAATTCTTCAACTCTGCTCATTGTTATGACGTCGACGTTGAAGAGTTTGTTGTCTAGCTACAGGTATTATGGAAGTGGGATTCCAAACTTCGATCCAACTTTATCAACGTGGATCTCATCTTGACTTGCTACACTTTAGTCAAGGCAACATCAAGTTTGTGTTTCTTTCCTACCATATCAACATTCTTTTGCTGCTTTACTGGTGAACGCAAATGTCTCATCTTTGCTCACTCCACTTGAGTGTCAAAGGCGGTTGCCCGTGTGAGAGAGCCAACCTTTCTTAACCTGTACGACATACTAGGCATTGTATACTTTCGAACAAACACATAAAGTGATAACAAAAACATAATTTCATTAATGAGGTTTACAAATTACACTTTATGTATGCTAAGGGCTTGCACATGTTGTTTAAAAACTTTTTCGCCTATTGGCTTTGTCAGAGGATCTGCTACCATACATTTGGTTGAAATGTATTGTACAGTAACAATCTTTTGTGCTATATAATCTCTAACAAAATTATACTTGATGTCAATGTGCTTGGTTTTGCTGTGATACTTAGGATTTTTAGTATAGGCTATGGCTGCAGTATTGTCATAGTATACCATCACCGGATTGGTACTCTTGTTTCCAAATCCAAAGTGTTTTATAAATCTCTTCAGCCATAAAGCCTCTTGCACTGCTGCGGTGCATGCCACAAACTCAGCTTTCATTGAATGTAAGGCAATGCACGTTTGCTTCTTGCTACTCCAACATATGTCGCCATTGTTGAGCAAGAAGGTATAACCTGAAGTTGACCTTCGTTCTTCTTCATCTCCGTCTACATCAGCATCGGAGTACCCAACAAGGCACTGGTTGCTTCGTTCGTAGCACAGTGCATAATTAGAAGTGCCTTTCA